CACCCTGTATATGGCTACAATAAAATCATGTATGATCATATAAAGTTATACATGGTTATATGTAATCAGACATATTTAGGCGTCGTCATATAGAGACAAATTTCGTGTATGATCATATATGTATATTACATATATGGTCATATATCATTATATATCAAAATTTTTTCCCGGGTAGTAATTTAAATTTCATATTTGTTTAGTATATATATGATAATAATATATATAATTATATTGTAACGAATAATTATATTGTAAATAGTGAATCCTCAGAGTTATGTATATGGAATAATCTATTCTCAAAAAACATTGTTCATTACAGGATGCATTGTCAAACAAATAAATATATAAAAAAAGTAATATTATTAAGTATTGCAACAAAATTATATTTGTTTGCATTCATTGTAAATATCAGTAGGTATAATATTCAAAATTTTTATTGAAATATTTCTGTATATACATAATTTTTAACTAATCCGTTTTGTCTTTCTTGTCCTAAATAAATTTTTAATGATTCCCAAGATCTAACTCGTGAAAATGCAACGTAAAGTTGTCCGTGATTGAAAATATCTTCTCTTAAATCAATTGCAATTTTATCAAATGTTTGACCTTGTGATTTATTTATTGTCATAGCAAAAGCTATTTTAACTGGGAATTGTCTTCTTTTAAACACAAATGGATAAATATCTTCACAATATAAAGTTATGCGATTCAGAAACACTATTTCTCCTTTTTTATCACCGGTTAAAATTTCACACTTTAACAAATTGTTTCTTAATTCTAAGATTAACAACCTTGTTCCATTACACAAACCTTCACTAATGTTCAGATTTCTAATCAGCATGATAACCGTATATTTTCTTAATCGAAGTTCATGAGGTGGAAGGTTTGGTGGATTTAAAGTATTTAAATACTCTGTTAAAATGGCTTCATTAATATCATGATTATCGTTAATAGTCTCAGCAGTGTCTACACTTGTATATATTCTTTCTGTTGATTCATCAAGTAAATTCACAACTTGTTTGTTTATTGCGTCCACATCAACATTTCGTGCGGAAAGTATGGCACGTTTTGCCGCAAGTCTATACTAATTGTGTTTAATTATTTCTTCGTATGTATCTTTTACTATGTCTGCATTTAAATCTGCCAAACATCTCAGTGGGACTTCAACATTATTATACTGATCGTTCAAAGTACCATTACCCAAATCTAATAAAAAGTGAGCAAATTCATGTTCATGTGGTAAAATGCGCATATTTTCCGTTAATGAAAAGATTTTGAAATGTTGCCATAATGAGCTGAATTTAATTGATAAATTTACCGTTTCAGAACGTGTAGCTTTTTGTTTCACTGGTAATAGTTGTCTGAAATCCCCACCAAGAACAACAATCTTACCACCGAACGGTCTATTATTTTGCATTATGTCCTGCAAAAGATAATTCATTATTTCAAGGGCATATCGCGGTGCCATTGGTGCTTCGTCCCAAATAAAGACATCTGTTTTTTTCAAACAGTCAGCTTCTTTTGATTGAATTTTTATATTTGATGTTGCGTCAGCAAAAAGGGGTACGGGTAAACCTAAAGTTTTATGTACTGTTCTTCCATTTGGTAATAACGTTGCAGCGATACCAGTAAAAGCCATTGAACTAACAACTTTGCCTTGAGATTTAAGTAAATAGTATAGTATTGTATAAACGAAAGTTTTACCTCAACCACCTGGACCGTCAATGTATAAACATTTTATCTGTTGACTGTCGTTTTTTTCCAAAAGAGTTGAAACATAATCCACAATACTTTTTTGGTCACAATTTAACTGACTGTACTGTTGCTGACCGAGTAAAGCTTCTCTTTGCAAATGATCCGTATCTTCTTTTTCATATTCTGCCGTTATTTGTTCCATTTCTGGAAATTGCGAAAGTTCCCAACCTTCTTTGCGAAGTAATTGATCAATTTGAACATAAGCTTTTCTTATTCCAGTAACTTGTCCAAATCGTCGTATATAATCTTCAGACAATGCAACTTTAAATTCTTCCCACAATTCTTTTGGGTGCACTGGTTGGCAATGCATTAATATTCGTACAAAAAGTAGCCTAAGATGTTTCGGCATCATCCAGACAGAAGCTTCGTTTATTGCAAGTTTCCATTCGTTATCATCTTCAATTAAACCCAAAGCCAAACATGCAGAAGTAAACGTGTGATGCAATTCACCATTAACTGTTTTTAATTCATTATAACTTATTGCTCCTTTAACATTCAATAAAAGAATACGCAAGTGAAATAACTCGATTTCAGTTGGACTAACTGAGTACATACGTCCGATGCAATTAAATCTACATTGACGTTTTTCCCAACGATTAACTTGTTTTCCGTCAAGCGTTACTTTTTTGAATACATAATATAAAGGTATGTCTGTATACACGTACTGGCATGCATCAATATCTCGTTTATTTAAATCAAAATAGTCCATCAACATTGTTATACGTTCTAAAGCAGATCGTAAATTTTCTTCGTTTAAATTATTAGAGATAATTACATTTTGTTCGTTTGGCAAATGTACAGGTAAACGAATAATAGCATGACTTTTCTCTTGCAATGTTTTACCTGCAATGCGCCAGTAAGCCTCAACTGGTCCTACATAACGTGCTTCTATAAAATCCTTTATTTCATCATGAACAATCTCTATATTATTCAAATTTTCTCCTATGACTACGGACGCTGCATCGTGACCTTTATAAATATATTTATATAAATATTTCACCGACTTAATACTTGAAACAACTTCAACATTAATATGACAATTAAAAATCATTAATAATATTGGACAATAAGGAACGACAAATCGATTATCTACTACAAAACCTTTGAGTTTTTCATACGAAATGTTAGTGTTTCTTCGACGATATTGTGGATATCCATTTTCATCCATAGTTGTTTCCTCATGAAAGGGTTTTGGAAAATGTTTTGAACATTTTCTATTTACCATGCACCAATCACCACAAGGTCCATGAATCATATTTTTCATGACAATTTCATATAAATTTTTATCAATAGCAGGATCGGGAATTTCAGCGGAAATATATTCGTCAACAGTTTCCGAATTACTAATTTTGCAATTTTGTTTCAAAGTTACTAACATATGTACGTGGGGCAAACCACGTTTCTGAAATTCGATTACATAAACAAATGCTTTTACCTCACCGAAAAATTTCTGTCGAACAATTAAATCTACCAGATAATTTTTTTTTATATTAAAAACTCTAGCACAAATATCAGGTCTATCAGCAGGTTGTTGATTTGAAAGCAAATTTTCTTTAATTTCAAGCCAATTTGGATTGCACGTCATTGTAATAAAAACATCCGGTTTACCATACTTACGAACAATAGCCGTCGCATCTTGGTAATTTTGCATCATATTTCGAGGTGAACCAATAAATGTCGATGGAAGAATCATTACTCGTCCAATACGAGCATTAGCGTTAGTCGCTACTTTTTCTAAATAATCGATCAGTCCTTGATGTTTTTCCACTCTCAACTGTTTATGATTTTCTTTGCACCAATTAATTCTGTCTTTCTCGATTTTTACATAGTTATCAACAAGCCATTGTTGAAATAGTCGTTTACCCATTAAATAAACATTGAAATTATCTCGTACAGCTATTCGGTATTGAACGTACATGGATCTAGTCACACGTTTTCCGTTGATTTGTTTAATATCATCGTACCAACCTTGCGTACCATGCGGATAGTACATTGGATAAATCCAAGGTTCAACGTTTGGATCCATTGTACTAACATATTTTAAAGTTTTATTACGTTTGTTTCTAATTGTAACATAACAATCAGGAATATCTCCATCTGCGGTAGTTGAAAAAATTGCAGCAACTTCGTTAGTTCTTTGAACATTATATCTTCCGCGATCAATACCTGTTTTTTTATTTAAAAATCCCATTTTTAAGTCAGGTACATTTAAACCTAAATTTTCTAGATCACGAATTTCTTCGTGCATCATTTGATATGACTGAGCAAATATATTGTTGCTACGGATAATATTATCTAACGTATGTAATAACTCTTTATCGAGATTTGAATTTACGTTTAAACGACATTCTGTAGCTTCGTTAGCGTCAAGAATAAAAAGCTGTCCATAACTTGACTGTTTGTTTGTAGCAGGGTATAATGCAGTGTTAATTTGATAATAAATTTGACCTTGAATTTTGAAACAATAAGGTCCTCGTCTTTGTGCATTAAAATTAACCAAATTAGTATTGAAAGAGGCAAAAGAAAAAACACTATTATAACCTCGTATATTTTCTAAAAAATTTTTGGATTTCTGATGATTTCCAGAAAATAATTGTTGTAGTTCATTAGGAAGTGATGGTAGAGGTTCCAATATAACTTTTCCATGACTACAACAATCATTGAATGAATTACCTTTATTGTGAACTTTTTCAGCGTGAAAATGCTTTGCTCTACAATGTTGGCATTCTTCATCCATTTTTCCTATATAATGTTGATTCAAATTATGATAGTCTATGTTTTGAAATCCTTTGTAATTGGCTCGAAAATTTTGTACTTTTCTTTTGATTGAATCTTTGATATTGTGTGTTGGCAATAATTGTTCATTATCAGCTTTAGAAAAATTATCATTTACATTCACTGAAATTGACTGACTTGTTTTTGTAGTATTTTCAACGACACTCGCAAATACTTCGTTGGTAGTTAACAGTCTCTTTATTATATTAACATTATTGTTATCAAGTTTTGAATTCGGAGTTGTCAAAGTACTATTGCTCTGTGATTTACAAATTTTAGATGGCCCAGCTACATTGTTTGCTGCATTTTCTTTATTTTTTTCACGATATTTTTGTTGATTTATAGCCTTTCGTTCTCTTTTCAGTCGCTGAAATTCTTCCTCTTCCTCTACAGTACGAACAGCTTTTCGTCTACCCATTTTCAATTATTGCTTAATCTTATTTGTTAAATAAAATTTTTCTTTTGTTCAGCAGAATGCACAAATGTAAATTTATTACAGTTGAATAAAATCATACAGATACCAAATATTAAAATGTTAAATATTTATAACTTGTAATGTCAAATTTTCGACAATAATATCAAACATTACTTAGAATGTCAAATTTTTAATAATGTCAAATTATTTTATCTAAAGTTTACAACTATGTCAAATTGTCAAATAATTAAATACATCTTTGTCTTGGCCGGAGAATATAAATGACTCGCAAATCTGAAACAAAATATTATTTTTATTAGTTTAATATTTCTATTATATCAATTAATTAGAAATGCTATTAAAAAAGCTTTGTTTGTCTACATTCCCAATTGCCAACAGTTTTGTCCACAACATTTTGCCGACAATTCCTGCTAAAAATATTAGATGGAATATGATCAGATTACATTACGTTACATGCAATTTCAATGTAAATTAATAAGACTCTTATTTATTTACATTGAAATTGCATGTAATCTAATGTAATCTGATCATCTTCTATTTATTATTTTAAACAGGGGCGTACATCCCATACAGCACAAATTGTTACAGAAAGGTTTCAGAAAGATTTAAAAATTATTTCAATATTTCACATTTCATGCTCAACATTTCTGACAGAATTCTGCAATATGTCATATGAAATGATGCAACAGAAATGTTTCAGAAATCTATCATATGCAATAAATTTGAAAAAGTAATGTGAATATTACAAAAAGATTTTTCTCGTTTTTTGAGTCACATATATGGAACGTTGAAATAAAGCAATTGTGGGCTTAACAAATGTTCAGAAGCCCCGGTGGAAGTGCCACAGAACTTCCTTGCCGGTAGCTGGTATAGGCTTTGGCGGCAATGAGGAACTCACACGTATATAAGTATAAAAGACTTTATTACGTAATCGACTCGCACGTCGAGATGGCCGGTCTCGATCGTGCATGAGGTGAGGAACGACTGTTACAATTCCTGTCCCGCTCGGACAGCGCCACCAACGACCATGAATGTGTCGTGGTATAGATGGGCAACTCAAGTCGCCACACACTCCCCCCCGAGTGCTAACGCTGGAGAGAAAGAAAATACAATTTTTGGTATGACACTGGGTGTCTATCACAAATAATCGGCACTGCCGAATATTGCAAAGAATATTGCGGGAACTTATGATACCGCTGCTTAGTACTAATGTGAGCGCAGAATGTATCACAGAATTATACATAGGTACTGCTGCTTATAACGAAAATGTAGACGCAAGATGTACAATGTAAGACGGATTATACAATATTAAGGTACCGCTGCTTAGAACAAATATGTAGACGCAGTCTGTACATTGCAAGACCCGAAATAAAATAAAATGTATGTTATACCGCTGCTTAAAGACTAACACATACGCAGGGTATATAACTAATTGCACATGGAATAATACAGTATCGCTGCTTCAAGACTAAGGCATACGCAGGATGTAGGTATAAACCGAAGCAAATACGCGACCGTGACCAGAGTGAAAATATATATAATCAGAAATGGAAGAACGGAAAATATATACTTTTACGCGCACTGAAATAAGGGTTATAAAATAGTATCGCTGCCTAGAACAAGAATGTAGACGCAGGATATGTGAAAGCTTATATCTACTACCGCTGCTTAAGGCTAACGCACGCAGAATGTACAAGGACTTAAAATTAGTACCGCTGCTTAAGGCTAATGCACGCAGGATGTACAAAGAAAGAAAATACGCGACCGTATCCAAGATGAGAGTTGACACAGACTAAAATGGAAAACGGAGAATATACTTTTACGCGCTATGTTATGATCTCTTGGACGTTTTCATGTCAGGCTTGACTAACGCGGGGAAGTCGTATTTTTATCCAGCCTAATCTGTACTTTTTTCTTAGGACCGGAATACGTTTTTAAAGTACCGGACGGGACGCTTGTCGAAGTGGAAGGCTTGTCCGTCGCGTCGGAAGTAGACGAATCGTTAGTTATTGAGACGTCGTCCGGTATAAAATGAGCTGGCTTGAGCCGCTCTATTGATACGGCCGTGGGTTTGCCGTTTATTTCTATATTATAGACTTTATCCGACGTCCTTTCGAGTACCCTGAAGGGGCCCGAATAAGGCCGCTCTAATGGTTTCTTAACCGCGTCCTTACGAAGGAAGACGTGCGAACACTTTGACAGTTCCTTGAACTGGAAAATGCGCTTTTTATAATGGTGTGCCACAGGCACTGGCTTCACCTGACGCATGTGCTGTCGAAAGTCGTCTACAAAAATTTGAGGATCCGGTGAAAAATCCTCTTGGAGGAAAAATTCTCCCGGAATCCGTAATACCGTACCGTATAAGAATTCGGCCGGAGAGGCTTTAGTGTCCATTCGTAAATGGGTGCGTAACCCGAGTAATACAGTAGGGAGGACATCCACCCAGTTCGGCGTGTTATGGCACATAATTGCCGCCTTGAAGGTGCGGTGCCACCGCTCGATCATGCCGTTTGCGGCGGGGTGAAAAGCTGTAGTACGAATGCGTTTGCATCCGATTAATTTGAGAAGGGCTGAGAAAAGCTGCGCTTCAAATTGTTGACCTTGATCGGTCGTGAGAATGTTAGGTGCACCGAAACGAGCGACCCAATTATCGAAGAATGCCCTAGCTACTGTTTTGGCAGTAATATCTAGGATTGGAATCGCTTCTGGCCAGCGGGAAAATCGGTCGATGATTGTTAAACAATACATGAAGCCATTGCTCGGCTGCAAGGGACCAACTATGTCCATGTGAATGTGGTCGAAACGCCCGTCGGGAACCGAAAACTGAGCCGGCTCAAGTTTGACGTGGCGCGAGGTTTTGCACTGCTGGCAATCGATACAGTTACCCACCCACGATGCGACGTCGCGATGCAGGTTCGGCCAGATGTACCGCTGTCGGATGACGCGGTTTGTTACTTTCGCGTTCGGATGCGCGGGGTTATGGAAGAGGTCGAGGACCTGTCTCCTGAGAGATGCTGGAATGTAGGGTCTGATTGATTCGCCTGACAATTCACAGTATAGCTCTGTGTTGGAAGAACCCGATATAAATTTTTTCAATTTAAGCGAGGACGAGTTCGAAGTCAAAAGATGCTTAAGTTCTTCGTCCTCTTTTTGCCTAGCGGCGAGGTCTACTAGTTCAAATTCGACCGGGAGGCGGAGAGCCTCGATACGCGATAAATTATCGGCCACCACGTTTTCCGAACCGGCAAGATGTTCTAACGCGGTGGTGAACTGCGCTATGTACGAGAGCTGACGTAACTGCCTCGGGGAGGCTTTATCTGACCTTTGCTGAAATGCATCAACGAGCGGTTTGTGGTCAGTTACGATTTTGAAATTACGACCTTCGAGGAAGTGTCGAAAAAACTTGATTGCTTCATAAATCGCGGTTAATTCGCGATCGTACGCGCTATAATTTCTCTGCGCCGGAGTAAACTTTCTAGAGAAAAAAGCTAAGGGTCTCCAACTGCCAGAGGTATATTGTTCAAGGGCCCCACCCATAGAAAAGTCCGAAGCATCTGACACGACGCGAGTGTCGGCAGAATTGGACGGGTGTGCAAGTAACGCGGCGTTAGCAAGGTCGGCTTTGGCCTTGTCGAACGCGGTTTCGGCCTCTTGAGTCCACGGTATCTCACGTTTGTCGTTTTTACGCGAGTCCGTCAAGTATGCGTGTAGTGGGGCTTGTACGCGAGCGGCATGTCGAAGGCTACGCCTATAAAAGTTCAATGCGCCTATAAAACGACGAAGTTCCGCGACGGTCTTTGGCTTCGGGATCTCCCGAATAGCAGCCACTTTATCCGGAGAGGGTTTAAGACCGAATTTATTTACGCGATGCCCGAGGAAAGTCAACTCCTCTACACCGAATACGCATTTGGACGGGTTAATGACTAACCCGAATTCCTTGAGTTTTTGAAAGACTATGCTTAGATGCTTCTTATGCTCTTCCAATGACGAAGATGCAATAAGAATGTCGTCTATATAAGCAAAAGCGAAGTCGAGATCCCGTAGGGCGTGGTGAATGTACCGCTGAAAAGTCTGAGCGGCATTTCGAAGACCGAATGTCATAGAAACGAATTCGAACAAACCGAACGGCGTGATGACGGCCGTCTTCGGTATATCGGCCTTTGCCATTGGAATCTGATGGTAGGCCTTGAAGAGATCAAGGGAAGAGAATATCGACTTACCTAGTAAATTTGAGGTGAAGTCATGTAAATATGGTATCGGATATTTATCCGGTATCGTGACGGCATTTAAGCGACGGTAATCACCGCATAATCGCCAATCGCCGTTGCCTTTGCGGACGAGGTGGATTGGACTAGCCCAAGGACTGCTGGAGGGCCTACAAATGCCTAACTCAGACAGCCTTTTTATTTCAGCCTTCGCTGCCTTTAACTTATCGGGGGGTAGCCGGCGTGGTCGCTCAGCGACGGGAGAACCGTTAGTCGCGATGTGATGTTCGACAGCACATGCGGCAGGCGAAAGTGCCTGACCGCGACCGGTAACCTCGGGGAAATCCCGATAGATGTCCGCGAATTTATTATCGCTGTTAACCAACGATATTTTATTTTCCGGAACCGCTATTACTTGTCCGGACGATGACAAGGAAGTCACGCTGTCGATTAACCGACGCTTGTGCAGGTTGACCGTTAATTGGTAGTGTGTCAACACGTCTGCACCGAGGATTGCAAAAGGCACGTTTGCCACGCGAAAAGTCCAAGTTATGGGACGCCGCAAGCCTAAGTCTAAGGTAAGACGACGCTCGCCGAACGTGTCTATGACAGTATTGTTCGCTGCGAACAGTTTAAGTTCCGAGGGCGTATTCTTATCGCGCAAGGTCGCTGGGAGAAGAGAGATCTCCGCGCCTGTATCTACTAAAAACCGTTGACCAGTAGTCTGATCGAAAACGTGAAGACGGCTTTGTTTGTGCCCGGAATTCCCGACCGTCT